CCCTCCTCCATTGACCCTCCTTGACCACATTGAGCCCCCCTGGCCCCATTGAGCCCCTTTAGCCCCCTTGACCCTCTTTGACCTCTTTGAGCCTCTGTTGGCCCCATTGACCCCCCTTGGCCTCATTGATCACTGCCCCGGGCCCCATTGAGCCCCTGTTGGCCCAGTTGACCCTTTAGGGTCCACCCCCCCAATAAAACCCCTGCAATAGCCCCCCTTGACCCGCTCTTGCTCCACCTTTGGCCCTACTGACCCCCCCATTGACGTAGTTGCTCCCCCACACGAGTAGTCCCCATTGGCCCAGAGAGCCATAGCTACACAGAGAGCCATAGCTACCGAGCAGGTCCATCAACCACCCCCACCCAACTATGGAGTTCCTGCAGCGGCCGTAGCTCCTCCTCCTTACCCCCATAGGCCCCACCCTCCCACCATGTGGGCGGCCCTGTCCATCCAGCCCTTGGCATGGGGCTCCATGTTGACCAGCACCAGCCCCTCCATGGCCTTGGGACACATCAGCTATGGGGCAGGGGACAACACGGGGGTCACAGGGGGCAGCCTGACGCCCGGGAGCCCCCCGGCCCCATAGATCCTCCCACCAGCTTCCCCGCCAATGCCAATGATGCTGCAGCTGCTGCAGGGACACGCGATTGGTTGGGCCTCAAGCCCTGCCCCATAGGGCTCCCCCCAGCCCCTATAGCCCTGTGCATGCCCCATAGGGCACCCCCGACTTGCTGTAAGTGCTCCAGGACACAGGGGCCGGGCTTAGCCAGGTGCTCCAGGGACAGGGACAGGGACCTGGGGGAGGAAAATGGGGCAGGGTCAAGGGGGAATGGGAGAGGCCAAAGGAGGGTTGGGGGGTCAGTGTGGCCAATGGAGGGTGAATGGGATCAAAGAATATATAGGGCCCCCCAGGGCTGGACCGGGGGTGGCAGTGCTCACCCATGGGCCCCCCATCGGGCCAGGCCAGCAGGGCCAGGTGCCCTAGGCAGGGAGTCCCCAGGGCAGCGAAGCTCAGCGCCCCATAGGGCATCTCCAGGCACATCTCCTGCACCTTAATGAGCCCCTCATTAGTGTTAATTAGCATCTCATTAGCATTAGTTAACTCCTCTCTAGCCCTAAGGAGTCCCCAAGGGCACCAAGTTGGCCCTTGATTGTGCCCTTTGCAGAGACCCGACCCCCCAGCACCGCCTTTACCTCTTAATTACCACTTAATTATCCTCAACTACCCCTTAATTACCCCTTCATTTACCCCCAATGCCCTCCCTCTTCGCCATACTCAACCCCAATGTGCTCCCTAATTAACCCCATTTTACCCTCATTACCCCTTAATATACCCCCCATCGACCCCCAGTTTATCCCCATTTGCCCTAATTAACATCTCATTGCCTGCCACTGACACCCCCCCCCCCCCCCCCCCCCCCGAGCTCCTCAATTAACCCCTAAATATCCCCTCATTAACACCCCGACCTAATTAACACCCCCTAATTAACGATGCCCACCCCATCAGTTGCCCTCTCACTTCCTGCCACAGGACCCCTAATTAAACCCTTAATTAAATATTAATTAAATGTTAATTAACAAATTACCATTCGGGGTGCCCTGGGAAAGGGCCCTGGCACCAGAGCTGTCTTGTCAAATTGTCCCCCTCCCCTGCCCCCATATAAAAGAGGCGGAGCTGTGTGGTTGTGGGAGGTGGAGTCTTTATTGGGGTGGGGGTTGGGGGGGGGGGTGCGCGGCACAGTCCCACCACATGAGGAT